CCAGACTCCCCAAGCCCTCCATTCCCCCGGGTCAGTAAGTTAGTAGCAGACTTGTGTGGGAGGATAGCAGCACTGGTTCGATACATCGGTAGACCACCGAGAGTCGTTGTATAGGCCAGATATGTTTAGTCACCTTTAACGATGCTTAATGAAGTCGAGTGTACGACGCATCCCTCAAGGAGTGATCAACGTCGAAAGCTTTTTTACACAAGGAAACAAGTAGGAAAATGCAAACCTGCCCGCCTTCTACAGCTCCATCGTCGACAATATCAACTGTAGACATTCGTCTCATAGAAGCTGCACGAGAAAGTGGATTGTGGACGGACACCTGCCGCTGCTGAAACTTGTGTATTATCAATTGCAAAATAAGATGATCTACGTTTAGTCCTCACCTTTAATGTTATAAGCACATTAAGAAGAATTGCCTTCACACGCTTAGTTTTACCGGCATTCAGCAAAACAATCAGTTGTTTCGGATGGTACTGTGGTAAAATGGGCGAAGCTAGCCGGGCAGTTTCAAAAAGACCCTCACCAGAGAGCGCTTCCAAGACTGAGGAATTCGCATCTTTATTTGGAAAACTTCTAAAACGAAACAAATGCAAAAATTTAATGTAGTTAGAGTGAAAGTTAACTAAAAAACCTACTTATTCATGAGGTCCATTAAAAGGCGGCCTTTATTGACAGGTACGTCCTTTTTCCGTTGTAGTTGATCAAGCATCAAATGTGAGTGAGAAATGGCAACAGTGAGAATCTCGGAGCTCTTTTTGCGAGAACTGTGAATAAGAAAAACCGTACCAATGGAACGCTGTTTCCGCAAACTTGGTCAGATTTTCAGTTAAAGGCATAAACCAGATTTCAACCAATAACACATCCATGACGATACTAATTTGTCGAAACCTAACGATAATTTCTCTAAAACCAAGGTAAAAATAAATAACCTTAAATTCACTTAGATTTGAAGTTTGCGAAAACAGGAAGCGAAGTATGTATTTTAAAATCTTTAACACAAACGCAACAGCAGCTGCCAAACGATGCACTGAGAGCTCCATAGTTTTCATCTGTACGAAACCCCGACTGTTCAATCACTTCAGCCTTTTCAATACGACCCTTGATAGAAAACAAGTAAGAATACCCTCTGTGGACTCTAGCAATCCAGAACCTCATGTTCGTAGGATAAGAATAACTATTTCAGGAAAAAGGACCTTCAGATTCAATCTGCTCTCATGTTAATAAAGTGCACTGCGAAATGAAATGGAAAGATAATTAAATTTGAAAGCAGCCCCCATTTCTGTGTCATATTCAATGAAACTTCATCGCGAACGCTTTAACGTTGCCAGTAGAAGTTGTTAAAGAATCGTTTCAAAGAAGCAATAATGGAAAATAATCAATACACCAAGGACTACATTATCTCCTTAGAATCCAATAAAGAGAAACTCTGAAGAGTACGCAACTAACATCGTTGCGTCAGTCTCATTTTTCCTATGGAGATTCCATTGGTTGTAAACTCGCATTTCACAATGCATTCCAACAATAAGAAGACCATCGCGAGCCCAGCTCAGAGTGGTCGGAATAGGAGGAAGCCCGTCTGCCGAATCCAATTCCAACACTCTAGTGCACACCCAGCGAATCTGAAAACGAAACTGGAAAATCGTTCAAACAAGGATAAATCTTTTCTAATGAAGATTCGAACAATCGACACGCTTCGGAAACCTTTCCTCTGAATTATCTTCTGTGTAGACAAAACTGATAAAATGTCACTTCTGGAGATCGATATTGCACAGAAAAACGACAAAAAATACCAATCGACTATGCGAATGAGAATGAGCAACGAGAGAAGAAGCTTTGCGGAGCGAAGGTCGTCTCAAAGTGCTTTCGCTATCCTTCATTAACGCCACGTTTTGTTGAGCAGGATCAAGTGAAACCTCAAAAAAATTGTTCGGAGAACTTACGACATTAATATTAGAGTCAATTAAGTACCTGGGTGTACATGTAAATATTGGTCGCAACACCGGCTGTCAAAATATGAGAACCATCCTCTGTGGAAACCCAATCGAGGCGGACCATGTCTTTTATGGTTACTAAAAAATAAACGGGAAAATCATAAACATAAAACAAAGAATTCAAACAACAATTNAGTGGATATCATATACGCTGTAATGCAATCATAACTCCAATTCTTTTAGAACTAGGGAACGAATAAACCACGATTCTAGAACGTACAGCAGTTTCACAGATCTTACTAAGCTGTCAAACTTTCAAACTCGACTGTCAGAATAAAAACAGTAAGAACTCCGAGAAGTAGATCCACTAGGATAGATCCCACAAGCAAATAACTCAAACAAACGATATGAATGAAAAAACCAACAGTGTTCATATGGGTTTCTCGGGGGTGATGATTTAGCAACCATTCGCACAACATCTTCCGATGGCCCATTCACTACACCTGAACGAAATACATGCAGTAGATGAAATGATAAAATTGTCGTACACGTGCAGTGCAGTGCAAAAGCACTAGAACGACGATCAGTGTTCACTTATGGTAAAAGCCTAATAATGCGCTGTCCTGAATCTCTTTGATTTCAGGGAAGAAATGTTACCCAAGTAGCAAAACACCAAATAACTATTATTCATGGATTGACCAGCAAGCTGCCCATGAATAAGGGACTGCTCAAAGAACGAAATTAAAGAAATACGAAAATCTACAACCATGTTATGGTGTTCTCGGGTGTCAGGCTGCGATGTTCAGAGCGAGGATTGATTTCCCCTTCCCGGGCAGGGTCTCCCAATCTGAGAAAGAGTCCAGTATTCCCATCAGGAAGCCCAACCAAGAGTAAACCAATACCAGGATCTATCATCGTCCTGATAATAAAATAGTCGCAAAATGGCAAATCTCTCTCTGATCCAAACGAGCGAACACAGCCTGTGGTGGCGACGACCTGGCGCAGATTTTGGGTAGGCTGACCTCGAGACACCACAGAACTACAATGGCTAGACCAGCAAAACTCCGAAAAATAGGGATTATGCCGGGACCCGTAAAGCCAGTGAGGACGGGCCATCTAAGTATCCAAGTGATTATGCAGACTAACTACTCACGAAAAGAGGAGAATCGAAATGCACGTATCTCACTTACTGCAACACATATTAAGGAAAAGCCCACCATGGAAACTTGAACGTAGGCGGAAGGGCAATGATTCTGAACGCGGCGACGTTGACAGATCAGCTGTGGAGTTTTGAAGCGGAGAATATGAATGCAGAACAGAGCTGTAAATAGCAATTTCCACCTAGTATCGCGAAATTGGGTCCACTGGAAAGTAAGAAAAACGTGTATGAGCAAAATCTAATTTTTCACAAGAATTAATTACTACTTCGCTGATTTTTAATAGCAAACAGCCAGAGACTGGAAGAAAAGAATTAAAAAGCTACAAATGTTAGAACAAAAGACGCCCGAAATAGACAGACTAAATAACTGACGTTATGTCAGGAATTCGAATATTTTTCAGATCAAACGTGTCTTCACGCATCCATTCAACCCCGCCTGAAGATTCGCATTCGAAAACCCCTATCTCGACCTGAAAACGAATAGGAAATGCAAAGCCTTGTCATCACTCATTACTCGTTTTCTAAAAATTAATTGGAAAACCTCACATCCACAACATTCTGCGCCGCTCTTTGTCCTCCTTTTGGGTCGTACGCACAAGCGATGCGACCACTATGAGCCGCAGAAGCGGAGAGAATCGATCCTGTAAAAGAAAAATTGCAGAAATTCCATCAATTAAAACACCTATTACAGCTCTCACCCTCTAATTCAAGCTCACTACGACGATTGCCACTAATCATATTCCATTCTCTCCATTCGTATTTAAAATCGGAACCTGGGTCAGCATTCAGACATCGCCAAAAACGTACCACGTCGTCTAAAATATATCATGTCGCAAAACCACAACAAAAAATAGTATAAAGCCAATCATATTACCTACGAAGAAAAGCAAATAAAACTAGGTTCTCCAAGTAATTATATCCAACCGATCTTCTCCGTAAACATTAAAGCTTTGTTTTACAAATTCCACATATAAGCTATGTTCATACTGCATACAATTCAGTTTTTAGCTAGACCATCAATAAGCCTATAATGCAACGTTGGTTCTGAGACTCTCGTCATGAAACGGATACCAAAATGACAGTCAAATCATCGACGATGGTCTACTGCTAAAGACGATTTCACCCACGAAAACAGCCCTTTAGAATTAACATGTATAGGCTGCAGTGACCTATAGGCCGGTGTAGCCAGTGGTTGGAGGTGCTCTGCAATACACACTGTATCGATCCCAGAGTCCATGGCTCACCAAGCCCTCCATCCCTCCGAGGTCGGCAAATTGTTACAAGACTTGTTTGAGAAGGATATCAGCACTGACTCGATACATCGGTTGTCCACCGCTAGTCATTGTAAACGCCAGATACGCATTCAGGCACCTCTAGCCGATGCTTAATGAAATCGAATGCATGATACATGATACATCCCCCAGGGAATGATCAACGCCGAAGGTTTTATCATCCATCTTCATCATAAAACAACAACTTCTCAACACCTCGACAAGATAGGAAAGTATAACTACGAAGGCGACAAATATGCGTTGAAGGACTGAATGAAAAGTAAGGAAATCGCTATAAAGTTCACCCCACTTATTCTGCGCAGTGAAAACGAGAAGCTCCATTTGATAAATAGCAGAAAATTGGTTATTTTCAACAACTGATGACGTTCTGCGTAATGAAGAAATGAAGATAAAGCACCGAAACCCTTCTCAAAGTAAGATTCCCATCGGAAGACCAGCTCACTGGATATCTGAATACGACCACTGCAATTTACTGAATTATGTAGAAATCATTACTGTAGAAGACAACCTTCAGGAAAATGAGATGTTCTAAACAAAGCATGTTTATATTGGAAATTAATTGATCAGCATGGAAGGATGAATTCTAGTGCACGACAATGTAGTGAGAACGCATCGGCAAAAAAACCTTCACAAACTAGGCGGATTACAGTAAGAAACAACGCCACTTGCAAGACATTTAATGGATTTCTCTCAAACGTACTGAAAGTTTCTCAAGCATTAGAATAACTAGAAAATCATTTGCAACCAACCACTGCCGAAAATGAGTTCAAGAGACTAGTATTTTCCAAAACCCTTGCTTTTCAACGTTATGGAATAGGAAAGCTGACAATTCATTTACACCAAAATTTATGGATCCGAAAAGTTTCCCAATCCAATTAATAAGGCACACAATAGTTGATACATGTACATTAAGTGTTTATAGTTATGAAGAAACAAACATCAATTCCGAAACAAAACAACAGAGGAGTCGCAAATGTAGTCAGGAATAATGAATGGATATTGAAAAAGGAACGAAACCAACCATCACAACTTGTAAGCAATACATAAGGAGCTTGACAAGCAGGATAAAGAGAAGAAGACGGCAAATGACCAGCAGCTGGAGAGGCTGATATAACCTGGAATTATAAAACGCTGATCGACACCTCTCAAACATGAAATTTTATCAGGAATAACGACATGTGAAAGTGAAAAAGGCAAAAAAAAACGAACATGAACACCGCCAGGAAGAGGAACTCTTTGGTGGCAAACTTTTTCACTGGTGAAAAATAATTTCGCGACAGCGGGAGCCGCTGAGCTCGCTGATCTCAAGCAACCCTCTTCGTCAGGTGAAACTTCAGTATCTAAAGCGTTAAACGAATATAGGCTGTGAAAAGCAAAGAAAGAATAGTGTAAATGTCCCAATGTAATCCAAAATTTGAAAAAAAGCGACTACCATTATAATTTAAATGGTTGTAGCCGTTTCATGTACAAGTTCATCAACAACTCTTCTAGATGTTTAGAAATTTGATTGCGCCAAACATTCTAAAGTCAACTATCATAAAGTGGAAAAAACTGACCAAAATGAGAAACTATTCGAGGCCTTTGCGAAGAAATAACGACTGAGTACATGATGAAACTAAAAGTGCCCAAGATTTTTATTTAGAAGAAATGAAAGGTGCACAATAGTTTAGAAAAATTTCCACCAAAATCTAACTTTTCGTATTCGCTCCCATGCTCTATGATTACAACAAAGTAACGATCGTTGAAGACCGCCGCTTTGCTACGATCCACGACGCTACTAATGCGACCTTGATTGTCGTCAAGATTGTTTTCACCGTCGTTGATCACGAGACGCTCAGGAAAAACATGTAGCAGAAGAAGTTCAGAATCGGGCTGAAACGGTGAGTGTGTTCGGCTCTTCGTACGAAACTGAATACTTTACGTACCTGAACAACATTGGGAATCTGTCCA